AGTCTTTACAAAGGGCAGCATGTGTGCAAGTCACAAGGATTGGGAGACCGTTTTCCCAGATATCGGAGCATTCAAAGCTCCCTGTACATTCCATAAACTGTCCATAGTAGTTGACTGTGGGACCACCATCAATTCCTTTCATATGCAATCTGTAGATGTGTGCAGTCTGTAGTTCATCTAGATGGACCCGGTCATTTGCAACTATTTATGGTTCCTTCACTGAACCATGTAGGTCAAATTGTGTGCACATTGGATGCGTCTACATACATTCAGTAGCACCAACCAGTAGTATATAAACCTACAATTTAACCCTTAGTAAAATTGTCTGTTTGCTGGAACTATCTACGGTGTCATTGTCCAGACATTTCTTCAGGCATTGCATATCTTCGGGAACTTTGAACTTCTTGAAATTTTGGATTCCGTAGGCAGCAGAAAGTAGTAACTGTTAGTTCACCTGCCTATTTCGTTCCCTTTTATCTTGCATTATAATCATATGACCAGCTTGCAGTGTACATCGTCTGCATGGCTTGTTCCACTATATATTCTCTGAAATTTGCATATTTATGTGATCAAATTTTCATGGTGTTGCATTTTTTACATCTGGCAATGTATATAGTAGCTCACACTTCACAGGTATTTTATCCTAATTGTTATGCATTAGGTACATGGATTTTTAGTTTTAGGTTTTTTTCTCTTTAAGTTTGAAAAGGAGACAAGTTTTAAAAAGTCTTCGTGTAAGGCATCCTTTTCCAAAACGAATAACTGAATTTTCATAACTACGTTTTTGTACAAACTGTTCTTTGCATGCAGTATAATTTTAGCTCACTTTGGCATGGTAATAAATGAATAAATAAGGAATAAATAAGTAAATTGCTGCAAGTCAAGAGAAAATAAATTCTGATTAAATTTAATATGTTGATTTGAAGTGCAGTTAAATCAATTATAACACAGCCAGTTACAATTAAAATTTAACTTTTAATTATTGGGTAAAAGCACCAGTATGAAAATTAAACATTGATAATTGTATGCATTGAAAATACTAATATTGCACACTTGCTTTTTGCAATGATATTTAATAACTGATCTCTCTATATATTTGGTATAATTTCAAAATTAAATGTGATATGCTGGATTTCCTTTCTGAATGTAAAAATTTTGTAGAAGTACAAGCATAGCGTTGTTACAAAATTTTGTTTAATAATGATCATAAAAAATACGGCATTTGTAAATGTTTACTATAGGCTTTACTTCCTTAACTATCTTATTTACTTGCATATTCCCTCTTATTTTACTAATTTTATCTTGCAATGTAACTATTTCATTCCTTTATTTACTTATATTATAGATCAAGCGTAATGATCATGTTGGATTGGCTGTTACTTGTGGCAGCATTGTTGAGGGCATTCAATTGCATGGCAAATTTTTTAAAAATGGCAGCAGCACTGAGAGTCACAAATAAAAAGCTACAGCATTTGAAGGCTGAAAACAGCCATTGTGTCGTGAATAAAAACCAAAAAGAAAAAACCCTTCTGATATGCTTATGGATTGGTCAGTCCTGGATTACTCGTCAAAACCTGCTAAAAAGGGGGCAAATGCTCCCATCTGTGCAAACTAATGTTACATTATCTGTGATCCATATTTTATTGATTGCCCAAATTTTAAATTTCTTAGGTTGAAACATTTTGGCTCTTTTGATCTATCCTTTTTTTAATTAATTAGAATTGAATCTTCGTTTCAGTCTTCCTCACTTTTTAAAAGATACAGGCTTTTCTTACAAACTGTAAAACTTTAAATGTCAGCTATATTTTTAACCCAGAGTCAAGTGCTTTTAACATTTTACAAATTTTGGACTAGTATTGATTGTTTTAATTACTATAGTAATATATTTGAATTTCTCCTTTGCATCAATCTGTTACACTTGATGGCAGGTTTAGAATTTTTCATTTCTAGCTTGTTATTATCGTAGCATTGATCTTTTATAGTTCTATCTGTTCTTGCTATATTCTTGGCACATTTTAACCAAGTGGATTATGCACCATAAAACACCATCAATTTTATATGAAATTAGAGAGGGGATAATTATGTGAATAATTTAATGTACGAAGAATTGCGCTTGCAGTAGAAACATAATAAATGAAATATATTGATGGATAAACTATCGGTAACTGTCAAAAATCTAATTCAATTACTGTTCATTTATTACATGCTATTAAGATATTATAGGAAGGCTAAGATTACCCATATGTAATAAGGTATCTCTACTTCCTATATCTTGAATTTAGCTCACTCTTATTGTTGTCCAACTATTTTCATATCCATCTCATATTATTTAATTCTGCTTGAACTGTTGTTTGTGTATTCTGCTACAACTTAAAATATTGTCATTATTATTTTTTTCCTGTTCAGTCTGTATTCCTGTGTACAATGATCATTTAAACCATTGGAAACATTAGATATCCTTATTTTCTTGACGTTGTTCACTATTCTCCATCAGTCAGAACCCTAACATCTAAAATCCATGAGCAAATCAATTAATAAGATAAAAACAACCACTGTGTGGACAAATCTATTTTGAAATTTAGAGGAGCATTTTTAAAATATTAAATAAATTTATTGCTATTTAATTGGATAATTTGTGAAAATGTTATCAATTTTGCCAATTTACATCACTTTTTGTTGCATAATTTAAAAACCAAAATTAATTATTCCCTAAAAGAATTCTTTAGTTTTTACTTTCTTGTATGAAGTAAAGGAAGTATTGTAATCAAGAAAAATTCCGAGTACCATGTTTCAACGAAAATATACATTTTGACCATAGTAGAATGCAATGTAATGTTTTTGTGGGACATCTGTACGTAAGGACAGAACAAAAACCTCTTTTCCCCCAAATGAATTATAAAATTGATTTAAAATCGATTCAGAAGAGGTATTTTTGTGGCGTTTGTACGTACATATCTCACATAACTCATAGCCTCAGAATGTTGAAATTTTGTATGTGCGACTGCTATAACATGTAGATGTGCACCTCCTTTTTTGGTTGCAATTGGCAACTCCAACAGTATATAAAAATATATGTATATCCACTCTGTTATTTAGCTCAGTTTCTTTATTTTTATATCTTTGTAAGTTGTACATTTTTTGCTTTAAAAATGATTGAATTATGTTGTTCTTATCTTCCGGTTAAGGATTTTATGGCTTTAGTTAACTTGCATGTTATAGCTGTAGAATTATCAACAATTTAAGAATTTTTTAAGCGCGGCCAAGCCTAATTTTTTTTTTTTACCATAGCAGTCTAATTTGTTTATATTTGAAATTTAGCAGAATATGATTAAATTGGATTTGTTGCCAATTTAGAGAATCTAAGCTTTCACAGTAACAAAGTTATATCTTCTTTTATTATTGAGAATTAAATTAGGCTTTAATCCATCGTGGAATTATCATTTAAGTTATTAAATTATCTCGTATATCGACTCAGCATAGCATCCACAACAAATTAAGTCAGTTTCTACCTTCAGTATCTTTTTGCCAAGATCAGAAATAAACCTTCAGTTTTTGTGTGCCGAAAAATCTGCCTTCTTGCTTGCTGGCCAAATTGCTTGTTTTTGCACAGAAACTAATTTTAATTGTAAAAAATTTCTTTCTTGTTTTAACTGTATTTGATTTGTAACTGTTTTAACTGTACTTGTAACTGTATTTCATGTTTTTCTAAATCTTTCCATTTTTAATATAGATATTTTGAGTTTTTTATGTAATTTTGCCTTGTTGTGAAGTGAGAACTAATTGAACAACAAATATATCCCTAATGAAATTTGAGGAAATAAGTTTAAATGAAATGCAGGAAAAAATGTGTATAATTTATCCCGTATAAGGAAGTCGTGGTGTACAAATTAGATTTTTTCTTAAATATAAAGGAACAGCCATGGAACAAAAAAAGGTAGTTCATGGTGATGAATGATAGTTTCATATATACTATTGCACTAATAATAAACTTTGTGATATAAAAAAAAAAAAAAACTTAACCAACAAGTTTGTAGCTTTATCTGTTATCTGCAACAAGGAGTTTCAGTGCCAAAAATGTCAGCAGCTTGCAAATAAAGTGGCTGCCTGTTGTCCTTAACTTTCTGTATGTAGCACAAAAAGAATACCATCACGTTCTGTCGTGTAGATGTGATATAAAATTCTAGATTTTAAATTCTATTAAGAAGACCCATTACGCACTGTGGATTCCCCAATAATTCATCTGGGTTTAGTCCTTGACTCTAGAATACATTGCTGCTAGGGATTTTCTTTATGTAATATGATAGCTTTCTTCTTTTTGCTAATCTTTTGTGAGGAAATTTTGTCACTGAGAATGCATAGCCGCCTTTCAGTGCTTTGCATTAATCCTTTGAGCAGTGCCGCTTTTTGGATCCGTCATGAGGATCTGCATTTAAATGACCTTTATTAGCTAAATTTGTATATTTACTTATTTTAGTCTCTATTTTCATAAACTTGCATTTATTAAGATGACATTTATATTAAAGAATGTAAGAAAGCTAAATATCTTAAATTATGAGCTAATATATAACAAGTGATAAAAAGTCTCGTAACTGGATAAAGTGGTCATGGTGCTCAGAGGGTTAAGTAAATCAAAGCAAATGTAAACTGGAACTGAACTAGATATTAAAATTTTAATAGGTTTATTGCAATTTTTAACAATTTTTAGACTTTCAGTAGAATGCTTGTAAGCTCAAAAGTACATAATAGATTAGCTTTTAGTAAAAAATTCTGACTGAAGATTGGGTTGCTTAATTTGTATTTCAGATTATTTCAAGAATCTTGAAAACTTATTCATTTTTAGTTTAATTTATGTTTACTGTTGAATAGGTGATGTTAAGTTTTAACAAAGTTTCTCTTTCCTGTGGTAGATTTTTTATAACCATGTGTTTCAAATGTTTTGTTGATTTCATCTTTATATTGAAATAATGCAAAATGGTAATGTTAAACTCTTTGTTTTACAGTCAATAACGTTGGTGTCATGTATGAATATCCTGAATGCTTCATGAATGTTCCTGAACAGGTCTCATCAATTTTTGCTTTATTTTATATATTTATTTGATAAAAATGTATGTGTATTTAAAAATTAAATGTGAAAATTATTTTTACTGTTTATATATGTAAAATATTTACAAAACCATTCTTTTTAAAACATAACACAAACATGTCTAGTTATTTTTATGCATTAAGCTGCAGAAAAATTATCATTAAAGACGAAAAGTAAAAAATTTAGAACTAACTTTCACAAAGACCAGAAATTGAAATTCATATTTAATAAATTTAAAATAAACATATAAATGTAACAATGAATTTAAAAATGTTAAAACCAAAACATTTCAAACAAACTAAAACCGTTCTTAAAAAACCATAAAATTTAAAGAAAAAACAGCAATTCAATCGATCTCAATGTCACTTCATCAGGAGGAAGGGACTTTGAAACTAATTGAAATCCCTCTTCTACAAAAATCCTTTCTTTTCTGTATCCAAAATTAGCTGATGGACCAATTCAGAATTAAATTATAATTATAGTAGTTCACTCGAAAATTCTGGCCCTTCCCCAAAGCAAGGAAAAAATAAAGTAAATTCTAATTAGAAACATTAGAAAAACTCCAAAAAAGAGAACTTCATCTCTTTAAAAGAAAGAGTTGAAAATGAAAGTGAAAAACAAAACTGAAAAAATAAAATACTTTAAAGAAAATTTTTTAAAATTTTATTGTAAACCTTTAAACAATAATCCAATGAATTAAAAAGTAGTTGATAAACCTATTTAAAATCTACAAAACGAAATTAAGAACTCCCTTCACTCCCATTAAATTATACTCAAAATTTGATATGTAATACAGAATGATACGTACATTTTGATATCATTGCAGAAAATAAAAAATCTTGTACGTAAAAGTAATTTTCAAAACCAAATATTAAATACAAAACCTAATTAAATTTAGAAAAGTCTTAAAAAAGAATTTTATTGTTTTAAAAGTATCGAAAACAAAAGTGAAAAAACAAAAAACTATAGTGAATAATTTCTTAAATGAAAAGGTTTGCCTTTAAACAGATAATCCAGTGAATTAAGATGTAGTTGAAAAACCTTTTAATAACACACAAAAAGTAATTAAGAATTTTCATCACTCTCATTAGACTTTAGTCTAAATTTTTGAGGCTGTACAGAATTGCTTGAACAGGTTTGCCATCTTGGCTTCATTGGCAGAGCTAAAAACCTTGGCAAGAAATTAATCGCTCCTAAGGTTAAATCTTGTAAAAAAATTTAATCTTTAAAACCAAAAGAAAACTTTAAGGAAAATTTAATTTATTTTTAGTCAAAGAAAAAGAATGCAGAAATATTTAATGAAATTTTATCAAAATTTTACTCTATAAAAGAAAAAGGGGGGAATATATATTTTTTAGTGTAAAACCTATAATGTATCTATAAGTGTGTTCAAATTTTCTGAAATCGTCTTCAGAAAGGCTTTTAAGGAATTTGAATTCTTTAGAAAATAGAAATAGGTTACAAATATGAGTGGAATATGAACTTCCCATTGGAATTCCTTGTATTTTCAGGTAAAGAAAGTTTGAATGTTTAATATAGTTATTGTACAGTGAAAATGTAGAAATTCTTTCCATTTTTGTAAATCCATTAGATTAAGTATTTCACGAAAACATTCTGTCATTTCAATAAGACTTTCGTAGATTTCTTGGAGTGGCATGGTCGTGTATAGGTTTCTAAAGTCATAGCAGTGAATATTGTAAATTTCAAGATTTTTAACTTCTTCAATGGTTTTCAAGTTGTCATAAATAATCCAGCAGAGTTTTTTTTCTTTAACTTGTTCACACACTACTTTAGTCTTAAGTAGATTGGTAAAAATATTATCAAAATTCTTCAAATTTCATGGTTTTTGAATGAGGGTTTTAGTTTGTTTCAAATGTTTTGGTTTTAACATTTTTAAATTCACTGTTTTTAAATTCATGTTTATTTTTGGTCTTTTTAAATTTCATACTTTTTGTCTTTAATGTAAAATAATAAGATATATGTAAACATATATTTTATAATAAATGCTAAATTAAAAAATTAAATATAAAATAATTTTTAGAATGTTATCTACAGTAGACTCACACAAACTCTATTCCCAGTTACTCAGCGTTGTGTGTAACTCAAAAATTCCTTTTTTAACCTGCTAAAATCTGATTGTCAAGCAGAACATTATCTTTGAAATAATGTGGTGATATATTAATAGCTACACTGTAATACTTTCTGACATCTTTATGGTGCCAACAGTATAAGTGCATTTTAAATACTGTACTAATAAAATTACAGTACATATTCATGTGTATGAATGGTTGCATGCTTTCCTGTTCAAAAATTTGTTATGGAATTCTAATTTTGCATTTTTGTCTTTTTCCCTTTGCAACTTTACTTTTTTGAACTTTTATAAGGAATTTGATAAATTTTTTTTTGTGGAAATTTGATTTCAATTTAATCTATTTAATTTCAGAAATTATGGGACCATATAAATATCAATGTTGCTTCAGTGACTATGATGAGTTATATTGTTATTCCTCAGATGGTTAAAAGGTATTTTGAAATCTTGTTTTAATTTTTATGTATCACTTTGTTTCCTAAAATGATATTTTGTTTTAACTTTGTTAAAATGACTAGCACTTATTTACTAGAAATTTTGTATTATTAAATGAAAGTAAATTCACTGTGAGATGTTGTTACAAGTCTTTTGTCTGTTGTGTACCATAGTGAAAAAACGAGTTTGCCATGCATGTAAACCCTTCTGCTTTTAAAGGAGGATTCTGATTGTTATAGGGACTCTCCCCAAAATGCTGCTTTAGCCTCTGTTTTAAGTCCAAAAGAGGCACTTAGCTCTGTCAATTGGCTGGTTACTAGATCGTACTGTTCGTGGCTTGGGGATAAGCTTTTAGGAAAGTTGACTGTAGGGCTTCAATTTGTGTTGGAAGACCTGGTTAGGCTTGGCAGAAGGATTTGCATATCTTTCTATGACGAAATTTATGTGAAGATTTGTGTAAAACATAATCTCCTAAGAAACCTTTACAAGTGAAAATGCAAAACAGAAAGTACAGATTTCTAGCCATTAATAGTGAAAATGCAGAACTGCAAAGAATGTTGCTATTCTTTATAAACCAAATATATGCCATTTAGTGTTGGAGAGTCGAAAAACATCGAGATTCCTATCAAAGGAAAGTTTTTGGAAGCATGAAAATTAATCTCCCCACATAACACTTCTAATTTTTCCAGTGGGATATTGGACTCTGACATTCTGTCTGTACAGAAGATGAAATAGTTGAAGAAGTAAAAGCTTAATGTGTTTGCACCACAGAAAGAATAAAAATAAAATCAGATGAGGAATTATTCAGATGAGGAATTATCCAATACAAAACACATAATCATTATATTAACTGTTTCAGGTATGCCAAAAGTCATCAAAGCTGGCTATCTACATTGTCAGGTAAGACCATATGTGTCTAATCCAGTGCTGTGTTTTAAATATTAGAGATTTGGGCATTTGATAATCTCATGCCATGGCACTCACAAACGTAAAGTGTTTACAGGTTCACAAGAATGATAATTCTAATAATACACCTCTCTGCATAGACTGCAAAACAATTCATTCATATTATTCAAGATATATAAAATGGAAGGGAAAAAAATCCAATATGTCAAAGTAACCAGAAATGTAAGTTTAAAAACTGTGATTAAAAAAACGAAGCTGTGATATTAGGCTGTATGCTGAGTGTTGCACATTTTAGCCGTAAAATTAATTCCATTTTAAATTAACTCCCTTCAGCATTATGTGGAGCGTTATACACTGATGATCTTCAGTGATGCAATTCTACAAAACTTAATCAACACTTTCAAGTCTCTGAAATTAAGGTGTGAAGTATGCATATCTGTTTGAGGTGACTATACACCACATAAAAGAAAAGATTTTTCAACAACAAAAGGTGACTTAATATTTCTATCATTTTCTAGTTTCCATAAATTTGGTTTTAATTTCAATATTTTGCAAATAATCAACTGTTGAGCAACTAACTTTTGTACAAATTTATATTTATAGTTTTCATGTGTGCTGACCAGCTGGTATAGTGATTAGTGATCCTGACTGCTGTAGTGATGGGTCTGGGTTTGAATCCCTAGGAAGACATGGTTGTAACTGTCTGTCCCTTCGTAGGAGGCAATGGTGGCCACCTATTAGGGGCTTCCATAATGAAATGGCCAACATTTCTGGGCCCTTGTAGTGGTACAAGGCTAACTGCTATTATATATAAGTGCCCAGCCATTTTTTTAAAAAATTCATTTTGTATTAGTTACGTTTTATTTCTGTCATTATTCTTTAATTTTGATGGTCAGTATATGTATAGACTAATTTTCTATGAGCACAGAAATATTTACAATGATTGATATATCAGTAAGTAAATAAGAGTATAAAATCTAATGATGTTGTTGGATTTGCATTTGTTTACAAGCAGAGTAGCATTTAATTGAGGGCATTTCATTGCATAAAGCTTGCCCTAATTTTTCTGCAGAAATTATTGCTAAATTATCTAGCACTTCTAAGTATTTTAAAACAATGAAAAAGGAAATTAACCCGTTACTTTGACTCTCGAGTGCAGTCATTGTTAGAATATGGAGATATTCAGGAAATCCTCTGACATAGATCATTAATCTCCATTTGAATCGTAAGACCTAAGGGATATTTGATATTGTTCAATTCCTGGCCACTTGTTAGAGGCAGTGAGTCTGCAGACTTTGCTGTTAAATCTGCTGATGTAATTTATGCTCATTCAATCAATCTCTATTTTGGCACATTCAGTCAATCTCTATTTTGGGTCATTTAGTTGATCTCTTTCAATTAATAGCAATCGATCTTCATTTTAATCTGTTTTGTTACTTAACAGATAGCCTTTTGCTATAAACTGTAAATCTTTAAATGATAGTTATATTTTAATCCAGAGTAAAATGTTTTTAACATTATACAAGTTTTAAACTAGTTAAAATTGTTTTTAATGATTATACTAGGATATTTGAGTTTCTTCTCTGCATTATTCTTTTAGATTTGATGGCAGTTTTTAGAATTTTTTGATTCCAAAGTGTGCTTTCTGTTATGATGGCATGCATTTTTATAGCTCCGTCTAATCTAACCCTATATTTGACGCATCATGACCAAGCAGGTTATGTACTATAAAACACAATCAACATTAAAGCAGAGTAATGCAGCATTTAGAAATGAAATGCTTGTTATAAAATTCCTTTTGCAAATAAAATAAATATGATGTTATTTTTGTGGGTTCAAATGTTGCTCCTAATAATTTTTATTCATTATGCTGAAATTTGTTTTAATATGTTATCTTATGAAAATAATTTGCAATATTTATATTTTTAATGTATGTGGAAAAATTTGCTAGAATAGTACGGTGATCTAAAATATTTTAGAACATTTGGGATCCTGTTTTAGAATTCTCTTGTCCCATCAGCAAATGTGAAATATAAAAGTATTTAATTCATAATTATGAAATCCAAATATGAAGAATGCATAATTGGGGTGGAACAATGCAGAATCTTTTTTAGGAGCACATGTATTATTTCTGAAACACCTTCAAATTTAGCCTTTGATATATATAGTAATTGTGTACAAAATAATTTTTTTCTTTTTTGCAGGCAGAAAGGCGTAATTGTAAATATGTCATCTATATCAGCTTTTAATCCTTTGCCTCTGATGGCAGTTTATTCTGCATCAAAGGTATGTGAATATTCTGAAATTAAGCATTTTTTGATTATGATGGAAGGTAATGAAATTACATTTTAATATAGTGTAAATAATCCATAACTTGTTTTTGTGTACTTTGAAGTATGTTATTTTTGCTACTTAAAATGAGAAAGTAAGTATAATGAAATAACAGTTTGAAATGCAATGTCGTTTTCACATTTTCTTATTATTGAGCTATTTTATTGTACTCCATGTCAAATGAAGTCAGTGTATCTGGCAAACTTGTTTAAATCTCAAAAGTTAATTGTATTGCCATTTCGTTGGATATTCAAGTGATAATGCACAGCTAACGAGTGTTTAAAATAGATGTAAGTTGCATAAGAACCATGTTTGTCAAAGCATTTATGTAAGTTGCTTTTGCCAGCTGCTGCGTCAACTTAAAATGCTTGTGTGGTAGTGTTATTTGCATTAAGAAATGAGAATGTCTCCCAAATCCATTGGTTGACAATATAATCAATCAACCAAATTCATTAGAGACTGCATCATCTCTTTTAGAGAGGTGGGCTGTTTAGTATATTAGGCTATTTTTCAGCAATGTAATCCTTGTGTATGTATGGTGAACATCTCCAGGAATTAGTCTGGCAGATCTCTGTAGCATGTATGGGGACATATTAGTTACCAATATGGCCATCTTGAAACAAGCATGAATGAATGTATATTAAATACTGTCACATTCTCATGATTATGCATTTATGTATGTTTGATAAACAGGTGATTGCTACCTAATTTTAATCACTTCATATATATGTCCGATTTTTTTTTTATGTTGGAGTTTTGTTACGATCAAAAATTTTTCTAAGTGTGGAGGCTTTTTTTTATATAATGTGTATTATCATGAGTTTTTGTTAGAAAATTTTCATAAATATTTTTTAATAATTTATTTTCATTCAATTTTTTAATAATTTAAGTCTGATTAGTGTAATTTATAAAGTCCATAATTTTTGAAGTTATTTATCTGCAATAAAATTTCAGTATTTAATTTAGCTGTGTATTAATATTTCAGGTGTTTGTAGACTGGTTTTCAAGAGCTCTAGCCTATGAATACAAAGATCAGGGTATAATCGTTCAGAGCTTAATACCGTCATATATAGCTACAAACTTGGTCAAATTCAGTAGTTTTCTGCAACGTCCTAGTTTCATTGTTCCCGATCCTGAGCGATTTGTTAAAAGTGCCATTCAGACGATAGGAGTTTCTAATCGAACGACCGGATTTTGGTCTCATGGAATTCAGGTTATTAATTTTAGCTAATTAAAACTTGTAGTTAACATTTGCTGTCATCATAATCAGTAGGAAAATATTTTTTATTTTGAAATTAATGTAGAATTTAAAATGATTTTTTTTGATTTAGTCTCAAGTTTTTTCATTAAATTTAAATGATACATTTTTCATTTCAATCCTTAATCTGTTGTTTTTTCATAGGACTGAAAGAGAAAAATGAGTGTTGGAAATTAAAAGAAAAAACAATATAATAACTAACATACTTTTAAGTTAATAGTAGCATTATCTTCAACACAGATTTTTTACATTGTCTTCTGCTTATTGCTTTTTGAAGATTTAAAATGTTTTCATGGCCTGTATCATGTGCACTTTATACATAGAAAACATTTTAACTTTAAAGTTTTGTTAGTCATAGTGAAGCTAGTCACCTTTTTTTTGGTTCATTTTTATCGAAACATTTTTTTTTTCCTGAAATCCCTGAAAACTGACAGGAGAAAAACTAAAGAAAACTAAGAGAAACTTATTATAGAATAAAGTAAATAATATCTGGAAATGATACTAATAATGCCGATGTGGAATTGACCACATATAATTATTATCACATATTATGGTTTTAAGAAAAGGTAATATAAATTATTAATACTTGATATTAAATTTCTCTCCCAAATAATTCAAGCAAGAGATGCTGCATCATGAATTTAATTTATTTGATTAATGCAGAAAATGATAGTTCAGGAAACAGTGGATTTGGGAATAAATGTCGGAAAACTTCCTTCAGCCGAAATTCGGAATGATGAATAAGTGTGGAAAAACAATCATTGTGGGAACAATAGGCCAGGGTTCTACTGTATGTTATGAAAACAGCAACAAAATATGTTGTCATTTTATTATGCCAAAATATATTAATTTTTAAAGAATTTTTTTTGGCTGGCCAGTTTGTTTTCTTTAAACCAAACATCAAGTCATTCAGCAGTTGTCAAAATGCTTTTTGCATTTAAAATTTTGGAAGTAGTTTTTGGTTGTTTTATCTAATGCAAGTGAGCATATCATCAGCCTTTGCAAAATATTCTTATCTGAAAGTACAATGATTTTGAAAAAGAAATTGAGTTTTAGGTCACATAAAAACCAAATGTTAATCTGCTGCCTTATGTTTTTGTTAATAAATTATTTTCGAAGCACTTGAAGTCTGAAACTCATTAATGATTTAGTTTAAATTATCAATCTGTTTGAAAATTAAATTGTGATCTCCAATACTTGGTTTTAACCATGACTATGAACTACTGTTTGAATTTGTTGTAAAACATTCTACAGAACATATATCATGTTTGGCTTTTAAATTGTGACTGATAATTAGCATATATAATTAATTGTATATACAAACAATATATAGCTAACCCTATCCTCTGAATTTATATATGTTAGTAAATATGAACAAACATATTCTAATAATGGCGATTTTTGATTTTTCAACAGTACTGGATGTATGAGCTCATTCCAGTGTCAGTGTGGCTGAGGATTTCTTGGTTAATGCAGAAAACCATCGATAACCATCATCGTTTAGAAAAACAGAGCTAGACTTTAAAACTTCAGTAACTTTTTCACCATTTTTTTCTTAATTTGTGTTTTTCGACTTTTTGCATTTACTCTTCTGTGATATTAATCATAAAAAAGTACTTAATTTCCTGTACATCTTTTTGAATATGTTGTAAGTTAATATTTTGCATTTTATCATGTGTTAACATTGTCCATTTGGGTTCTTTGGTATAATTACAAATAAATGTGGCAATAAATATGTGTGTATTATTTATCTTACTTGCATAGACTATTTCTTCATGAATCAAGATGTGACTTGCTCTATTTGGGAGGAAGGTATTTGTTGAAGTTAACCATCTTAGTATCTTGCTTTAGGTAAATATTTTTCATGAATATTATTTGTCATTCCTTAAGGGAAGTAATGATAATGAAAGATGATTGACGGCACAGATAAGTAAAATTTTGCATAGATCTAATGTACATTTGTGCATTATAAAAAGTATTCTTTGAATGCTTAAGAGCAGTTTATATAACTACACATGTACTGAAGATGCTGGTATCTTTGCAAAAATGCTGACTGTTACCGAAATTGGAACTAATTATACTATTATTAACAAAATTGGACCTTTGACATCAATAGGTAATACAATTTTGTCTAATTTGTATATACAAATTGCAATATGATTTCTTGTTTCAGGTAAGATAGCAGGTGAATAAGTTTAAATCCTATCTATATGATCTATGGTATTAAGCTATTGAGAATTTTGCAGTGCAGCAATTTTTTTGGTGGTATCCCATCACAATTTTGTGTAATTCATATCGGGAGATTTGGCTGATCAGCTTTCTCGCTGAATGCCTTCAGTTTCAAGAAATTTGTCATTTACATATACTTGGTATACATGCTCATTATTATCCATAAAAAGATAGATTCAAATGCATTTTTGAAAAGACAACAATACACAAATACAAACAGGGACACAAGGCTAACTCAGTATCTTTGGGTCGACATATGTATGTCAAATATGACTAGCAGAGTGCATTTTATTGTGTCTGTACTGGAATTGTTAGATTATATTACAGTTCCAGAAATATGAAATTCAGTTTGAGTGCTCAAACATGGCTCGGACTATACGAGTTCGTGGTTCTTTTCATATATCTTTCATGTGTGTGTGTGAAATACATTTGAAAATATAGCCTTTTCAAAACGAATTATTTATGCTAATCCTGTATTTCTTTCATTAATTATCTTCAGACTCCAATGATATTCAAAATAGAATACTTTTATCACAGATTGCACTTAGGAGCAAGCCGAAATCGGTTCCTCTTTGCTCAGACCTTTTCAGGTAATATCAATCTATTTCAAGAACCTTTTCTTAATGAGAGGTAAATGCATAGACATCAGGCATTTTGACAATTTCTGTCACTTCAACCCAACTACCCCTTTTTTACCCCCACATGTATAATCAGGAGTTCTGAGGGAAATAGATCTTTTAACAAGATTTTTTCCTCCTTCTTACAAGGAACTATTAATATACCCATGGTGCATTTTAGAAACTACTTGTTAGTTTAGCATTAGTATCAGCTGAGAAGACTAAACTTAGTGTAAATTTTCAGTAATTGCTACATATTCCCCTCCTTGTATACTCCCATAAATACTAACCAGTTTCCCTTAAAATATCCTCCATAAAATATTATTCCCATAGGCTGGTAGTCCCAAGTGGTGTGCCATAATCTAAATAATACAATTGGTAATTGTTAGAGATGTTTCTTCTTCGCAGTTCGATAAATGCATGAGAGTACATAGCTATATCAAAGATTCCATGAAGTCTTAATTTCTGATTACTAATTTATATTCCATATGTTCTTCTGCTGTTGATTGCCACGATTTCTTAATAAAATCTTTTGGGTTAATTTAAGCTTTTTATTACTCAATTATTCAACGTGCATATTACCATAGCTTTACCTCCTTTGGATTTAACATAAAAAAAACCATAAGGTGGTCTGCCTCAAATTACTAACTGTTAATGTATCATTTAGATGTGAAAACATGTGTTGTTTTATAGATAGAAAGAATAATAGAAAATAAAGTAATGAAGAAGAGACTCTATATTTTAAAGCGGGGCTTATTGAATTAAAATTACATTCTATGAGGATAGTATGAGAAAGTGTAACTTACGTGCTTCAGTGATAGTGATATCATCCTTGAAGATTGGTTGCATTCAGGATTGCATTTGGTTGCAGATAGCAGCAGACTTGTACATAACTGCACATAAGCTTGCAAGAAATCTTAGGTATACAAATTACTAACCATTTTTTAAATTCCTTTCATCTAGGGCTTTCATGTAGTGCTTATCATGAAAAGTAGATTCTCGTAAGTATTAGAAAAGCAAGATTATCATTATTTTAAATAGTACAGTTAAGTAAATGCTGAAGCTAATGCAAACTTTTGCAGACATTACATAGTGTGATGAGTACTTTTACCCCTCCTTTAACAGTCAAATTTCTTGATTTATGTTTCACCGTTCCCCTAAGAATGTGTTGTTCGAAATGGCTTAAGATTCTACTAAATATTCTCTGATTTTATTTATTTATTTATTTATTTATTTTTTTTTAATTTAAAACAAAAGTTTTTCATTATTTTGAGTTTTTTTTTCTAAGTAGCCCTTATTAATATACCATTTGAAATATTTGAATACTTGAAACAGTTTCATTATGTAATCATTTTGTCACATTATGTGAAAGATTTGGATCACTAATATAAAGTTAGTATAATAAACTAAAGACAATATATATTTCTATTAAATGACCTCTATTCTATTAAATACTTTTGATATCACGTTTAATAAAACTAATGTACAAAATATTTCCATACAGTTATCACCTTGTAAAAATACTGTATTTATATGAGCATAAACATAAAAAAATATTTGCTGCACAAACTGTTAAAGATAATGTTTTAAGACCATGACTAGAAGAATACTGCATAGCGATGACTATTCCTTTTGTAATACTTTTTGTTCCATTATTTGGTAAAGGTTCAATGCCTAGGAGATCACACAGAACATTATAAATATCCACAATTTGCAAAGGTGGAGATATGTAATTTCTTCTAAGCCCTGAAAGTAAAATTAATATTTTATTATTCAGAAATGCATCATGTATCACAGATATCTGAATTCATTCAAAAAATAACTTTGTGCTATTTATATAAATTAATTCAACAAAAATTACTAATATAATTTAAATTTAAAAATTCTTCAAAGTTGTTTCAATAGTAACATTGTGATAATTAAGTTTTACTGACAGCTAAATTTGAGCTAAATCCTATCCTGCCCTTTTCGGCTCAAGACACCATATTTGTTCTGACCAGAAAGTTATGCAAATGTTCAGACGTGAAGATACAGTAGATTTCAAATCTTAATTGTAGCTTGTTGCAGTGTTCGCCTCATTGCCACTCTGTAAATGAGATCTAGTTTCTGCTGATCTTGGCCCACCAGTGGCCGAATGATTATGACCATTGAATACTGGTATTTTAACCAAGGTTTGAACCTAAGCAAATGGGCTGGATGCATAACTGGTTTTCAGGAGTGTAATGTAAATAAGTCAGTTTCCTTCAGAAAGTCCTCTATGAGGGCATTCTTTACCTTTAACAGATAGCACTTATGTGCTTTGCCATATTCAAATAACCTAATGTATCTGATCTTGTGAAAGCTTAAAGTTTAGCTATTAGTTGGTTGCCATTGGTAAATGGTTTGTAAGTTTAGAGATATTGTAGACAACCAGCTATTTAGTTTTTAACTTAGAACTTAGTTTTTTAAATCGCTGACATTTTAGCTGTCAAGGCAAATTGCCTCTTATTTATAATATTTGGATACAAAGAGTTGCCATTTTATGTTAAAAATTTCTAGCGTAACTCGCCAAAAATTTCTAAAATTTTAATCTGACTAGCATTTTGTGTTGACAAGTAAATTGTTTTTAAGGGCAATAACTCTTTACCAGATTAAGATATAGTATATTAGTCATTAGGTTGTTTATTCTGTTAATTTTGTATCATTTATATTATTTGGAAGATTGCATTTTAGTTAATTTAACTCCATATTTTTTAAGTGATGAGATAGTTTTTATATAAATTTTTTTCACAAGTTAAGTCAAAAGCATGCAGTAAGATTTTACTTTTGTTTTAAAAAAAATCTCAAATGTGAGTTTGTGTATCCTAAAATAAAGTTTACTTTCTTGAATATCATTTTAGGTAAATGTATTTTTTTATTTTAATAATCTTAAGTGACAATATCGGCTTAAATTAACCAAGAGCTTGATTATTTTCACAAGACCTATTTTATTGAATCAATAATGACTTTGTTATAAAATATTAACGGTTATCAAGTCTTAAACCTTAATGTTAAATTTTAAACCAGTTATTCACTAATTTACACCATGAATTAGATTTATTTGCTGGATAAGCTGTTATGAGACTGACTGTGATTCAAAATACTGTTTGTAGATCTTTCTTATTTTATTAAGTATAAGAACTTGCCCATTATATTAAGTGTAAAGACCTCATTTCGAAATTTATTTATATTTGCACTAAATAAGAATTGACTTAGTCATAAATTTGTTCTTCAGTCGCTGTAGTCTCTTGGAATTTTTATTTTGTTTCATGTTACAACTCATCTTATCAAGAAATCTCAAATTTCTTTGCTGTAATGAGTTATTAAAATACAATGGATGACTTAATTACCGTTTCGTATGAAGATTAGTGTAGACCAATGGTCGCCAAACTTATGAAGCTTCTGAGCTACTGTACCATTTTTAAATCCAACTGTGAGATGCCAACCAAAAGAACTACCAATTTTTTAAAAAGAAAACCTTACATTTTCTAGTAAATATGAAATCAATTTTATAAACAAAAAGAAACAAATTGAATTGTACTATGAAAGAAAATGAAGTGTAGTTGCTAACAAATAACAAATGTAATAAGTTTTTTATCAGATTTATTAACTTTTATCAGAAGGATGGAATGCTTTTTTTTTTTTTTTTTGTGTCATCAAGTTTTTTAGTGTTGGGAGAGTAGGAAGTGTCTGCGATTCGATTACAGTTGCTCCAGTATTTATCGGTGGGTCTGTTTCTGTACTTATTTTTAATAAGTTTCATACTGAAAAAAGAAATCTCGCACAGTTATGTACAGCCGAATATTGCCTTCACTTTGAGACAAACCTGGACCAAAATTGGACATTTTTCTTAAGGAACAAGAGGCCAAATATTTTCAGTGCTTGAAGAAAGCGATTTTTCAGATATATCATCTTGAAAATCAATCAGTTCCAACTCTATTGCAACATTATCTTCTTGAAAATCAAAATGCTCCATAACACAAGTAGAAAACTCTTCAGCATTAATATCTATAAAAGAGGCTTTGACAAACAAATGAAATCTTTCAAGTGTTTTTTGAATTCACTACTTTTTTACGAACTGATACACTTGCATAGCAGAGTAAACACATTCTTTTTATCCTTTACCTTGGTAAGAAGTAATCGGTTTCCCATTCCAAATGAAAGTTTTTCGCTTTTTCTTGCTTGAACATGCCATAGTTAGGACAGACCTAGCTTGCTACCAATGTGTAAATCAAACAATCCAAGTTAGCAGTTGTTTAAGATACACATGAAAAACATAATGTGCACAACCTAGCGTATACAATCAGTTTATGAGATGAGTCTGACAATGGCAGTTGTGTGGGAGAAACAAGCACTTGTTGTGAGTGTCAGCTTAGTGGAGAAATCAAGGTTAGCCAACTCGAGCATTAATGCGAGCTACTAGATGGTTTGGCAATCACTTGTGTAGACAAATCGTAAATTTGCATTTTAATGTATTGAAATTAAAAAAAATTCTAATTAATCTTATGAATAGATGGAATCAGATATGAAAAAAATTATTAAATTCTTGCAAGGTCAAATTCATAAAATCAATAAAAATATTACAGGTACTCGCATTTATTCAGCAGCTAAGATTTGGCAGGATATTAAAAATACGACAAAAAACTCGGGAAAGCGAAAATTGAACTCTTATGGAAAGAAAGTCTGCAAGAAGTCCTAGTAAGAGCTAAATACCACACATGCACAAGTACAGGCCAGAATATATTCGATAATGGAGTAGAGAAAGCAAATAATGGAAAGAAGATGTGACAAGGTTGCATAGATTTTCCTTGTGTGGTTTTGATCAGAGGAATCAGACTTTGAATGGAGGCGTGCCTATTTCATACCAAAGGAGAAATCCTGTTGCAACGAATTCCATTGTTGATTCTGGTTTCACCCTCCAAGGTGACCACATGGTTCCAGGAATTAAAAACTCTTTCACTGGGGTTGGAATGTGGTCTCCTTTTATCGCCTACCCAGAAGAGGACCTCCCCCTCCCTGGAATAGGGACACTGTGAAAGTAAGTTAAGTTTTTGCAGTGAGAGGCGATGGTGATTTTCAGGGGAGCATCGACTTGCACCTTCCTTCGGAGACTATATGAACTTGCGTGAAGAAACTGTTTTTCGGTTGTGGCACTAACTTAGCACATTCATGTTGTAATAATTTCTGAAACTACTGAACTTAGTAATGCCAAAGTCCCAGATTGTTTTTAACCACATCTGTTAAAGTTACGTTTTTATTAAAAATTCATGTTGACGTTTGGAACTTGAATTGGGAATTCTTTTCAGCTTGTCATCACAACAGGGGCTTCGGGTAGCGGGTTCAGCGACTACATCACAAGAGACTGAAAATTGCAGATAGTAGGCAAATATTAATAGTGTTGTCTTAGAGTAATGACTAGTGAGTGTTTATTGATTAGTTATTTGTTATTATTTTGTTTATGACCAATAAATATCAGTGATTTTGTGATTGTAGAAGTAATAGACGATTTTAACATTGGAATATAACAGACCCATACCTCCCGTCGCATAAATTGGCAGAGATTTTCAACATGTGCAATAGTTGATCAATGACATTTTTTTATTCCTCCATTGAGTTAAAAGTTTGTCTTTGTGTGGATTTACTTAAGATGCATCAAGGCTGATCTCGGACCCATTGCGGCTGCACCAGGTGGCAGAATTAAGAATCGTCGTTTGCATCGGAAGGCCCAGAGGTCTAATGTTGGCCCCTGTGATGCCTTACATGACTAGAAGTAATGTTATAAACTTTTTAAGTGCATGTGCACAACAATTTAAAATAATTTGTTTCCTATAAATTGAGCTATTTTCTACATGCAAATAAGATTATTTCTTGTATTTATGATTCATAGTGGTGGAATAACAGTGATTTACATTCAGTATACGATGTTCAGATAACAAAGAAATGATGCCATCTCTCTGCCAGTTCATGTGGCCGTAAATATGATTAGCTAATATATTCTAAAAAAACAAATGACTATTTCTATTTAGAAGGAAAATATCATGCTAGTCCTTAAATCAAAATTTAAGCAACTCATTTATTTTGTTATATAATATTTACAATTTTACCTGGTCCTCGGGCAAAAAAAATGCCTCTCATATCTGGCACTTCATACGGGTCATAACCATGCGACCCTAAAGATATGGAAGAACCTGTGGGAATGCTTTTTCCTGGAATATCTAACTAAGAAAAATGAAAATTTGATTGAGACTGAAAAAGAAGGTAATTTTTTTTTTTCCATTTAAACTTCAAATTGAATACATTCAGCAGTAGCATCATTTGCAGAAATCAATATACATATTAATAATCAAAACATAATACATATGAACTTTTAATGTGCTTTATATATATATTAAAAGAATATGAATGAAGAAACGGTGAATGATGAAATCTATAACAAATTCTTTTCTTTATGAATAAATTGAAAATGTCTCTTGTCACTCAAATCATACAATTTGAATCACCATGTATCATTTCTCAGAGGATAAATGCAACTGATTTTTCATTTAAGAAATGATGAAATTCGTAAAATAGCTCCTTATTGCATTTATGCTGTGGAGTTTTTTTAATATCTACAATTTTAAAAATTTGATTTAAAAAATTTTATGGAATATTTAGCATAGCTTGGATAGGCACGCTTACAATAATTTTATTCGTTTTGTATCTTATGCCAGTTATGTGTTATCTTCTAAACTAAATGCGAAAATGTATAAGAAAAAGAATATGTAAAATTTGTTCAGATGATACAAGGGGTGATCAAATGAAAAGGTACGAAACGACACAGTGGGTACAAATGTAGACTTTGTTTAAAATATACACCATGGGCCTGAGCACAATAATCCCACTGATGAACAAGCCGCAGAATTCCTGTGGCCGTGGCGAGACCCAGTCCTTCACAGCGTCCTTGAGTACATCGTCCGAGTTGAAGCTCTTCCCTTTCAGGCATTTCTTTAGTGGACCAAACACAAGGAAATCACAGGGCGACATGTCCGGACTGTAGGGCGGATGGTTCAACGTCTCCCACTTTAACTTGGCCAGTTCCATATGTGTGACTTTGGAGACGTGTGGACGCACGTTATCATGGAGCAGAACCCCACCCTCCGTGAGCAGCTCCGGTCTTTTGTTCTTGATGGACCTTCATAGGCTTTGAAGTGTCTCACAGTACACATCGGAGTTAATGGTTTTTCTCTGCTTGAGGAACTCCACAAGTAGCAGACCTTGAATGTCGAAAAAGACGGTGAGCAACACCTTGCCTGCTAATGGCACAGCTTTGAACTTTTTAGGGGGAGGTGACAACACATGCTTCCACTGCATGCTGGTCCACTTTGTCTCTGGCTCGTAGTGGTGGCACCAGGTCTCATCACCTGTGACGATCTGCTCCATGAAAGCAGGGTCCTTCCTGATACTGAAACAGACGTTGCAGTGCTAGCCTCATACGCAGTTCCTTTTACTGGTCGGTGAGCTGCTTCGGAACCCAAGCGGCACACACCTTTCGATATCGCAACCTGTCGTGAACAATTGTCCACACGGTTCCATAGCTGACACCCACCTTCACAGCCAACATTTGCAATGTGACACGCCGATCACTTCTAATTAGGTTGTTCACTTTGTCGATGAGATCGCTTGTGATGACAGTGTTGGGCTGGCCTGGTCTCGGGTGACCACCCGTACTCTCAAGGCCTGCAGGAAAACAGGCACTCCATTTTCTGATAGACTTGTCAGAGACATTTCTCCCCATAAAATGTCACCATCCAGTGATGAATAGCTGCCGGTTTCTCACCTTCTGCTGTCAGAAATCGTATAACACCTTGCTGCTCCTCAGTCGTCGAATTTTGCAATGCGAACGCCATCCTGTCCTCATACGGACTGCCGCATCATTTGGACGGCGCTTTTGATATGAGCCTCTGCCATCTCCTGCGCATGCTCCGATCCCAATCAGAGACTCCAATTGCATCCCGAGATGTCTCGCTACGTTCTCCCATGGCTGAATATGCAAATATTTAACTGTAACATTTTTACGTCGTTTCTTACCTTTTCATTTCATCAGCCCTCATGTATTTGAGCGCAAATTTATTTTTGTTTGAAATTTGAATTATGTTATCATATAATAAGATTCTTAAATTTTTTACAAAGGGTGTTCACACATTTTTGTAACGATTTTGCAAAGATTTATGTATAAACAAACCTTAAAATTTTATTTTTGAATATGTTCAGTCTGATAGCCGTTTAGTTGACTTATCAATTACATCTTGATTTCCAAGATAAAAGTCCTTTCTTAACCATAGAAGAGACATAAAACCAGACCATAAAACCATAGAAAAAACATCAGGGTACTGTAAAGAAATGTAATTGACTACTATGTTAGCTGCAACTGTAATTCTGCTCTTTTTGCTTTCCAGGAATTGCTAGAACTGTCTCGCGTGGCTGATATAAAAATTCAGAGAGAACAGCTCAGTTGTTCTGTTAGCTCCTGTTATTATTGTTAATTGAAATAACTTTTTCTGCACTGTGGATAGTTTTCTATTTAACGTTTTAGTAGTTTAATGTAGAGATACTGATTATATTGCGTGATATTGTACGAATATTTCTGAAGAAAAATCCAGCATTCTGTTAATTTCTTTTGATCAGAATAAATTTTATTAACATTTCATTGGATTTCTGTATTCAGTCTGTTATGAACCCGTACACACACAACTATAAAGCAACAGCAGGAAAAACGTCTATTTATTAACACACTGTTCTTTTGACTTAAAGTAAATTTGGAGTTCTTTTAGGCATAGCATCCTATATCACCTCTCCATTTCTTACACAATCTATTTAAAAAGAAACTATCATTTCTGCTAAAGAAAATATTTATAAATATAATAAAAATTTTGATATTAATAAGTAAATGCAAATTTCTAGGGCAATCTGGGACATGTCCTGGCCCAAGTTGCAGTGGAACTACTTAGCTGCTAATTTATCTGCGATGGACACAGACTGATCGCGAAATTCAACCAGTTAGTTTATACTAAAAATATTAGTCCTTATAATTTTAATCTGTGTCACTTATTATTTATAAATTTATAATTATCTACTGTAACTATTGCAAAACTTTATGAATATTTGGAAGTTTATTACAACTAATCATTTAAGGAGTACTAGTATTTATCACGCAATAAAAACACACAGGCTACTTTCTGTTTGCCATTGATAAATCCTGTTATTAGCAGACAGGCAAAATCCTCATTAATAAAATTTTGCACCTTTTATTTTTGAGTAATGGTTTGTAATCTTTCTAGAGTTATGTATCATACCATCATTATATAAATTTTAAAATTTTAAGTTGATTTCTTTAGACATCAAATTATATGGAACCTGTGAATTCAGCTTCTGTGTATTAACTCATATTAAACTGAATTGATTATGTATAACTGCATACTAAATAAACTCATTTAAAAAAATTCAAGATATATATTTGGGAAATAGTTCAAGTGTGCAAAGTTTGCAACGGAAAAAATCTTTCAAAAAAGTATTGTACTCACTCCTTGTATGTAATAATTTTTAGAAGCAACTAGCAACAGTGGAAGGGTCAATCTGCTGTACTTTACATGGTAATGCTCTGGAATTTCTTCTTTTTTGTACACATTTAGTCCAGCCACACCTTTAAGAGCTTCATACACCTACATAAAAATGAAATATAGAAAAAGAGAAGTTATTTTCAAAAAATTATTTCTTCTTTGTAACACTGCCTTATCTTACTAATGGGAAGAATCATATTTATATATTGGTTAGCTAGATAAAGAGAAACTTCCGAATTGGAAGAATAATCTTTTTCCAGGTCTACAACAGACAGTGCTCCATGAAACATTTGATAGTATTGTCAAAGTTAGTTTATATATTTGGTTCTCTCATTTTATTTTTGAAAATGATATGCCATATCTGAAAAAAGTTTTTTTATCAAATTTAATTTCCAAATTTTGATTGATTATGAAATAGTTATGATGCTTTTTAATTATTTTTAGCTATTAATTTTGTTTTGGCATTTTGCATTGGTTCACTACAAATGGTGTTTCACTTTTCAAATTGTTGCCACCACATATTAGAGCTGTGTATTAATATTTAAAGAAATTAAATAATGAAGAATCTGCATGAATGTATGTATGTTTCTCGCATTGTAAAAAAACAACGGCACCTGGAGACATCAAATTTTGAATAACATAGTCTTCCACTAGAATATGGGCATTTAGAAACCAAATTTTTTTAAAAGTCTGTTTCATATTTTGTAAACCTTTAATGAATTTTTGATTAACAAACTCGATTTCAAAGTGAGCAATGGCAACACTGTATGGGGAAGATAAAAAGAAATTATCTCCAGCACATGTACTGCGTATTGGAAATTTTAAAGATAGGTTCTTTTTAAATTATTTTGTGATATTTCTGTTGAATTGAATTTCATGGTTTAAGTGCGGAGTATGATATTTAATAAATAAAGGTAACACACAAAACATTAAATAAACTCCTATTGGGCGTAATATAAAATCTGAAAGCTTTCTGATTTTTTTATCTATTTTTATTACTATTTCTCGAAGAAGCTTGTACAGAATTTTTCCTTGAGAAAAGGCTCATTCTCATATGTATATGTGATTTACGTACATACTAGTGGACAAAATCAAGAGCTGAAAAACATTTTCCCGCATTTCTTCTAAAATACCACACAAAACCTACAGTTGGTCGTCATGCAATTTTATTGTGGCACTGGTGTTGCTGAGATGACTTTACATATTCCTATGGGCGTCGCTATGCCAGCAGGGGGTATAGAAGTCTGCATCCAGCTACTCAGTTCATTCCACTCTGCAATACAGTAGTGATTTTTATTGTCTTTCTTGAATTATTTTGTTCTGTGTGGTTTATTAGGTGAAATGAGTGCATATCACTGCTCAAAGTTATGAGATAAAAAATCATGGATAGGCTTGAGGCACGGCAGTCCCAAGCTCATTGCAAGAGAACTGGACGTAACATCAAGTGTCATCTCTTATTTGTGGAATCAGTTTAGAAATAGCAGAACAGGGTCCAGAAGACCAGAACAAGTTCATCCGAGATCCACAACGACTAATGACAACCGGTATCAGCGAAGCACCAGAGAATGTCCACAGCCACATAACCGTCTCGTAACCTCGCTAGCACCACAGGAACATCAGTTTCAAGGAAGACTGTTGCCAAAAGGCTTCACGAGACAGGACTGCATGCCAGAAAGCCCTCTATTTCTATTCCACTCCCTCTCACAAAAGAGAGCATTTGTAATGATGCATACAATACCAACACTGGACTCAGCTTCAATGGGCTAATGTTTTCTTCATGGATGAGTCCAGATCCAGTCTAGAACCTGATTCTTGACGATTATTGATATGGAGCGAACCTGGGACCTGATACCATTACAGCAGTATCATGGAAAGAGATCAATATGGTGGTGGAGGAGTGATGGTCTGAGCAGGGATCTTGCAAGATACCTGCACACCACTCCATGTATTTGACATTCGTTCCGTGAATGCCAAGTACAGACAGGAGATCCTAGAGTCCTATGTGCAACTTTTCAGGGGTGCTGTTTGGCCCGAGTTAATTTTTATGGATGACAGGGTAGGGCAAATGTCGTTGATGACTATCTGGAAAAGCAAGGATATTCACCCTATGAATTGGCCAACCAAATTTCCTGACCTTAATCCTATCGAACATGCTTGAAATGTTCCTGGGAGAGCTATTGCAACCTGTCAACCCTCACCCAGATCCATTCAGGAGTTAAAAACTGTTGTGGTGAAGGAATGTGTGTGGCTTTCACAGGCATTTGTGAACTCTTTTGCTAACAGGATAGCCACTGATTATGCATGTTATCTGCCTATCAGAGGCAACCACACACTATACTAGCCACATTTTCACTGCCATCTTTCAACCTCAAGTTTGGACCACTTTGGACTCTTGGCCATAACTCACGCTAATGAATGGCATTTTCATTGTTGTTTTGTACTCATTATTGTAATGCAATAAAACATATCCATACTTAATTTTATTTATTTCTATCCATTATATCTTGAGATATTTGGGAAAAAGTTTTCCTTTTCTTAATCTTGTTCACCAGTGTAGTATATATATTCTTACATCCATTGACTTTAAAAGTAACCAGACAAAACAAACTTCCTGCAATGACTACACAGAACGAGTGCTTATTTTTAGAATACGTTGCATACAGTATAACAGACAATAGTCTTTTACTTCATAATTTAATTTTATACTATAGAATCATTGCAAAGGTATGCTTCTTTCAATAGTTTTATATTTTAATCCCGTTATTTAATTATTAACGTTAAAACTCGGATGTATTTAATGATTTTTAGCAAAAATTTATTGAGGCTTATTTCGGAGCATGAAACGTGAAAAATGAGCATTGCCCTCCCAGGGGTTCGAATCCGTATCCCGATTATTAGCCAGATGTATGCTTTCAGTTATGCAATGCAAGGAAGGAGAAAATTCTTTACAAATTTTAATCACTTTTTACAACACTTGTTTCTCTCAAATTAAATTCTAGTCTCGAATTTGATTATTTAATACATCAAGTCAACACCTTTTTCTTCATTTTTCATCCAGTGTTTTATATTTGATTTATTGACATTTATTAAGTCTAGTTTTATGAATCTAATTATTAAAAATAATTTAATATACTATTACTCAAAATAATATATTTTAAGATCAGGTATAAATTTCTATTTTGTTAATGGTAAACAAATTCTTTTTTCTAAAGTTAATTTTAAAAATTAATTCTGAAAGCTTTCAGATTTTATGACATCCATAGGGCCTTTTTTTTAACGTTTTGTGCGTTACCTTTATTTATTAAATATCATGTTTTTCTCACTTAAACCATAAAATTCAATTCAACAGCAATATCGCAAAATATATAAAAGAGCATATCTTTAGAATTATGGACACAGTCTCTCGCGTTGGAGATAATTTTTTTTTTTTTACCCGTATTGCCATTGTTCGCTTTGAAATCACTGAATTTCTTAATCAAAAACTCTTAAATGTTTTACAAAATATGAAATGAAATTCCAAATTTGGTGTTCTAGATGCCAATATTCGGGGGGGGACGTACGGTATTCAAAATTGGATGGCTCTGGATACTGTTATTTTATCACAACGCGAGAAACATGCATACTTTTATGCAGATTCTTCATTATTTAATTCCTTTAAATAAATAAAGGGCTCTAATATTTGCTGGCAACAATTTGAAAAGTAAATCGACGCAAAATGGCAAAACGAAATTAATAGCCCTTCTGGGCAAATTGCTCCTTTGGGCTAAAAATGTCTTAAAGCATTTTGATTTCCGAGATAAATATTTGCAAGAGGATTCAAGTGCAATTACACCATGAAGACTGCCAGCACACATTGAAGAATGAATGCTATAATGGGAAAAATATTTTTTACCATCTTGTACCGTCAGTTGATATTTAGTGCTGTGAAGGATGAAGCTGCATATATATTATCCTGTCACATAGATGTTTCTGAAACGCGATTAATTATTTCCGAGCTTGATATTATTAAAGCTATTTTTGTGTATCTAAAATATGTGGCTTAAGATAAGATAATCCTGGGAAGTTAAGGATGTTTTCGTGGTAAACATTCTGAATTTAATGACGCTTACCTTGTTTGCAAGAGATCAATGACAGCAGTTTTCTCATTAATCTTTAATTTTGTAAGATGGACTTAAAAGGAGTCGACTACATGCAGAGATGTAATTAGGCTCATCGATTTTTACCTCGGTTGTAGCAAGCATGGGGCGGAGTTCTAAAGCGATTTTTTGAGCTACTCCTACAAAGTTTTGTTCATGTAAAGAAACAAAAAGGTTTTAACACATAATTTTTATACTAGTTTTTTTTTTCACTCCCTTTAAAAAAAAAAAAAAAAAAAAAAAAACTGTTCGAAAAGAAATAAACCTATGTTTTAAAAATGTTTTTTTTTTTTTTTTTTTTTGTCTTCTTTAGCCAAACTATCTAATTTTGAAAACTGAAAATGAAAACCCTCGGTTTGTAACGAACTGCAATTTTATTTAATGATATCTGAAATTAAAGTTTTTCGTAAAATTTAATTATCAATTTTGAAACGAGTAACTATCATCACGAAAGTTATGGGTTTGCTATATCGTTTGGAGGTCAGCTATGGATCATGCATGAATAAAAGAATAAAACACGTAAGGTGGAAACAAAAAAAAAAGCTTTCAGATTTTATGTTACGCCCCAAAGGGGGTAATATACGCACGCGCATTCACGTTTTGAAAGCATTTGGGCTAATGTCTCTCTGGACTAAAAATATTTAGAAACAGCATATCTTTAGAATTTCCGATACACAATCTTGCACTGAAAATAAAATATTTTGTTCCGTACAATGTTGCCATTGTTCGCTTTGAAATCGTTTGTTAAAGAAAAATTCGTTAAAGTTTTATAAAATATGAAATAGACAATAAAACTAACAGATGCCTCTAGATACCGTTGCGAGATACATGCATACATTCTTTGCATATTCTTCATTATATAATTTATTAAATATGATGCAAGACGATAATATTTGGTGGCAACAATCTGAAAAGTGAAACTGACATTTGTAGTGGACCGACGCAAAATGCCTTTGCATGACTTAA